ACTCTCATGTACCTGTAAACACACAAATGAATGGGTACACACACACACATACACACACACACACAGCTAAGCATGTCCAGAGGCAGCTGCCTATCATCCTCATTGCTCTATCTGAGCATGCCTAGAAGTGTCTGTATCTTTAAATTTAAACTTTTAAAGTCATGTGCTTAAACTAAGGGTACCCCCAAATATGCCCTACCTTCTTCCCTTCCTGAACTATGCCCTTAAGCGAAGATGCTCAGGAATGCGCTTGCCCATAAGGTGTTTTCCCATGGGCATATGCATAGGCTTCCTGAATAAAATCTCCGTGCTTCCACCCTTCAAAGAGGACACTGTGGCTCTGGAAGTGACTCCCATGCCCTCCACCTGCTGCAGGTAATAAATCTTTCTCTACCCTCTGACTTCTCAGCTGTGCTTATTTTGGCTCTGTGCTCACCACAACATGCGCCACTGGATTTAGTGAGAAGTATTCACATACAAAGAACATATGAAACCAATCACCGATGAATCACAACTTAAAACATGCTATTATTTGGGACGGGATTTTTGACCATGTCTCAAGGCATCTTTGGACTGCTCTGGCTGAAATTCTGAAGACACACATTTAAAAATAATCTGTGCACCTGTCCTTCTGGAGAGAGACTGGAGAACTTCACACTGTTTCTGTCTGGAAGAGAATGTTGTTGGGGACAGTAGCCTCTGACTCTGTGTAACCTGAGACCAACTGCACATGACCAGGAGTTTGCTAGGACAGCTGTTGTCCCTCCCCAAGACTCTCTGTCTGCAAGAGGTTGCTCACAATGTAAACACCAGAACGTGGTGTGTGATACCATGAGAACACCTTAGAGTGATATTTGCCTGTGGGATATCTACACAGAGGGAAAATTTTAAATGGAGCTCCAAAGTATTGCCACCTACTGTGAATATACTTTTTTAGTTTTTTTATTTTATATATTTGAATTACAAACAAGATTGAATTACATGACGATCCCAGTTCCCTTCTCCCTCCCTTCCTCCTCTACCACCCCCCCCCAACTAAAATCCTACCTATCATATGTCCTTTCTTCTAATCTACACCTGACTCAAAAGTTCTGCTTCCTCATGACCTCTGCATCCTTCCTTTTCTTCCCTTCTCATTCTCATAGCTCCCTCCCCCCACTTCCCATGTTCTCAATTTGCTCAGGGATGGTGACCCTTTCCCCTTCCAGGGGACAAAGTTTGTCTCTTTTAGGGTCTTCCTTGTTTACTAGTTTCTCTGGCAGTGTGGATTGTAGGATGGTAATCCCTTACTCTAAATATGTCTAAAATCCACATATGAGTGAGTACATATCATGTTTGTCTTTTTGTGTTTGGGTTACCTCGCTCAGAATGGTTTCTTCGAGTTCCATCCATTTTTTGCAAATTTCAAGATTCCATTTTTTTTCTGCTGAGTAGTACCCCATTCTGTAAATGTACCACATTTTCTCCATCCATTCTTTGGTTGAGGGGCATCTATGCTGCTTCTAGTTTCTGGCTATTACAGATAGGGCTGCTATGAACATCGTTGAACAGATGTCTTTGTTGTATGAATGTGTTTCTTTTGGGTATATGCCTAGGAGTGGAATTGCTGGACCTTGTGGTAGACTCATTCCCATTTTTGAATACACTTTTTTTAATGGCAAATCTAAAGGACAGAAACTGCCACACGGGAGGTCTTTGGGACATGACTACTGTGTCACCTTGGCTAGGGAAATATTGTTTTCTAACACTCCACAAAATGATTTGCTTATTGATACCTAAAGGAAGTTCTGGGTTACACAGAGTATTCCAGGCTGCATGCTCCTCTTCATTCAGCCCCAACCTAGATAACTCAGTCATCACAAACCCAGACAGAAAGAATTCTGAAGCCCTGATAAGAAAGGGGCCATGTCACATATTGTGTTTAAGACCATTCCTGAGAAGTTTGGGTCTGATAAAATCCAGGAGAGCAGCTCACAGGGCTGGGTGCAGCTGGGTAGTGAAGTGCCTGCCTAGGATGTGTGACTCTGGGTCCCAGCTACAGCAACATGAAGGAAAAGAGAGTAGGGAGCTTGTCTGTGTTATCAATCTCTGTAGAAGCCTTAGAAGATGAGAAAGTGAAGAAATGGGGCTTCAAGCTCATCACTGTTCACACATGTTGGGGTTCTCACCCACATGTGTGCTCACTCATGTGGGGACCAGAGGCCCATACCAGGTGTCCTCAATCAGTCTCCACCTTAAATTTTGAGGCAGGGTCTCTTACTGAACCTGGAACTCATTGGTTGGTGAGAACAGCTAGCCAACAAGCTCCAGGGGGTCTTCTCTCTCAGCATCCCCAGAGCTGGGATGATGTGTGTATGCCACCTTACCCAACTTTCATGTGAACACTGGGGATCAAATTCAGGTCCTCCTGTAAGCTTGGCAAGCACTTTACCAACTGAGCTATCTCACTGGCCCCATGGGCAAGTCCTTAGACCTTTCTAGTGTCTATTTCTTCTACTGTAAAGCGAAGCCCAAGAGCTTCATGCCTCAAAAACATATGTGTAGACCATTGATCTCTGTGAAACTTTGTGCAATACACAAATAAGATAAACACTATCCCACTTGGATTCCACAGAGTTTAAGGTCTGTCAGTCAAAGGTCTGTCAAACCAACCCCAGGTCATTGAAAAGCACACACACACACACACACACACACACACACACACACACACACACACACACACACACACATCTCCACATACTATTGTGACAGTGCAGAACATTCACAGGCTCTGGGTGCCAGGATTCATTCTGAAGATCATCCAGGAGACTCCTTTAACAGCTGTATGTGTCAGGAACTTTATCGATGGTCCCATTCTGAAATGGGAGACTAAGGTCCAGTGAAGTCAATAAGGTAGAGGTCACATGGATGGCAGTGGCAGCTAGCATCCTGGGGCAGCTCTGCTGTTAATACTGTCCTGCCTTCCAACTGGTCATGAACCTGAACAGTCTTTAGAACTGTTTATTTTATTTAATTTTTCTCAGGAGCCATTTCAGAGTCTCGCATAAAGGGCAGTTTAGCGCTGGGCTATGTTAGGATCTATATTATATTAGGTCATATTTACTGAGGACCCTGCCTTGAAAGATGGGGAGCCTCTTGGAGCCCTTGCAAGGCGACAAGGTGGAAACAGCAAGTGGCTGGGACAGCAATCCTACTCTGTGCTCCTGCTGGCACTCAGTCCACTCTATTCTTCCTGCTCTACAGCAAGCCAAGTCCATCAATCAAATAACAGGGAATCAACTCCAAAGAATACAGAACAGCAGCAATAAATAGGTGTGCTGTGCTTCCTGTGACCTTTAAACTGATTACAGCGCTGATTGAGTCCCAGTTCTGAGCTGAACTGAAATGGCAATTGGGTTTAAGCAAGGTCGGGGCTGAGCCAGTCGAACAGGAGTAATTGCTGAAGCTGCTTACTCTCTCTCTCCCTCTAGCATCTGCCCTTCCTTCCTCCCTCCCTTCTCCCCTTCCCACCTTGCTTTCCTTTTTCTCTCTCCTTTTCTTTCTTTCTTGTGTGTGTGTGTGTGTGTGTGTGTGTGTGTGTGTGTGTGTGTGTGAGAGAGAGAGAGAGAGAGAGAGAGAGAGAGAGAGATGCGTTCCTGTGAATGTGTGCACATTTGTGCTCTTGCATGTGGAGTCCAGATGTAAATGCTGGGTGTCTTCCTCAACCACTTCTTCACCTTATTTATTGAGACAGAGAACCATAGTTCACCAATTAGGCTGGACTGTCCCTCCAGCAGGCTGCAGAGACCCCTGCTGCCCCCACCAAAAGCACTGGGCTTACAGTCTTACACTGCTGTTTCCAACTTTGTACTTGGGTGCTGGGATCCAACTCAGGTCCCCATGCTCACACAGTAGTACTTCACTGACTGAACCATCGTGCCAGCGCCCCCCCCACACACACACACTTTTATTTTTAAAGTTTAACTTACTGTATAGTCACAAATGCCAGCCCCCCCCCCACACACACACACACACTTTTATTTTTAAAGTTTAACTTACTGTATAGTCACAATAGGAAAAAAACAGAAAAACAATTGCCCCAAAAGGGAAGAAAACAGAAATCCCACTGTGATTAATATGCTGAGGTTCATTCTGACATGTTATTTTTCCAATACAAAAGCATACTCATCGATAAGCTGATTTAGAAATACAAAGTACTGGTTCACAGAAGCCGCACCATCTGCCATCTGCAGGCAGGGGAGGAATGTGGAGAGGTGTGTACATGTGTGTGTTAACATGCCCACACATGTGGCGAGGTGGATCAGAGGTTTGAGAGATGGAGAGCCCATTGTGTCTGGTTCAGCCCACATCTGAGACCTGAGGCCCAGGAGGCCCGGAGGAGAGGAAGGAGACCAGTACTCTGTGCATAATATCAGCAATTAATCCAACCTTCCTCACACTTTATCCTATTCCGGTCCCCATCACTAGAGAGGGCAACCATCTGTTCAGCCCACCAGTTCAAATTCATATTCAATTTCTAGAAACACTCTCATAGCTATACCTAGAAATAGCATTCATGCACTGAGCAGACCCTGGCCCAGCCAAACTGACACATGGAACTGCCCATAACAAAAAGGAAGATGGAAATAAACCCACTGAAGTTCAGACACAGTGGAGTTGGGGAGGGTGATTACCTGTGCGCCCTGTCATTAACACGGTTCCCCAAATCACAGCTTGCTTTTGGAGTCTCACAGCTAGAAAATAAAAGCCCTCTGATACAAGATACACAGAAGCTGTCCTCAAGAAGGGAAATGGCCACGTGAATTACATCCTGTGGACTCTGCAGCTGCTGCCGAGCAGGACGGACACACACACACACAGAGAGAGAGAGAGAGAGAGAGAGAGAGAGAGAGAGAGAGAGAGTTTCCGCAGGTTACTCCAAGAGTAACCCTCTAGAGCTCAAGGGAAGGATCAGCCTTTTCCAGAATAAACGTGGGCTGTGGAGCCGGCCGGCCACTCACTTTTGTGTTCTTGTTTAGCCCAGAAGATCTTCACACGCTGGCGGATGTGCTTGTCCTCACGCAGCTTCTTCTGCCACTGCCGCAGCTCCTGAATCTCAGGGTCACAGCGAACCTGGAAAAGGCCAAGAAGCTTAGTTAGGCCCCTTCTCCACACTTCCACACCACCCCTTAAGAATTCTGCATGGAAAAGTCTTCAGAAGCATCTGGCTGCACTGTAACTTTGTAAAACTCTTTCTTGCAGCACCAGCCTCAAACTCAGAGCCTCATGCAGGCTACAGAAGTGCTTTACCACTGAGCTACACCCCAGCCCTAGTTTGATGTTCTTTTGATTCTTATGGCAGCACCAGGCTCAAACTCAGAGCCTCATGCAGGCAACAGAAGTGCTCTACCACTGAGCTACACCCCAGCCCTAGTTTGATGTTCTTTTGATTCTTATAAAACACTCTTCTCAGTGAATTATCTACACTCCAAAAGTTTGTTTCATGCTTGAGCACAAATCAGTTTGTGAGGATTTGCCATACTAATGAGAACATTCTAGATTTGGGTTGTCCCAAAGAAATGTAATGTGTAAGTTTTTTCTATCTCATCTTTAAAAAGAAGCAGGTGAGAATGTTTTAGATAATAATATATCTTATTTAACCTAGAAGGGAAGGGTGCCTAGGGGAAGTTTGTAGGTGCGATGCAGTGCTATGTGGCCCAGTAGACTCTGAAGCATAGCCTCTCACCCCCTTCTCCATCCTGAGTCCTCCTTCCATCGCCTGCTTGCTGGAGGGGCTGTTCAGCAGAAAGCTGACTCCAAGCCTAAGTGGGTAACTACATGTCAAGTGTATTCTGAAAAAGAAGTTAAAGTCGCTGAACAACAGACGAGGAACAACTCCAATGTTCAAGGACGTTGCCATGGTAACACTCACACAGCTCTTGGAATTAACTATCAAAGATGACCACTTTGTGGGTTCCCTTTCACAATCAGCTCCATTCATTAAAATGAAGCCATAGTTTTATAGTCTGGGGTACCGTTCAAGTACTGGAATTAGTATGCGAATCTGGGGATGCCATACACTGGATGTCAAGGTCAGTTGCTCTCCCAGACAGTGGCCATTCCTATCTTTCCAGGGTTCCCATGAGCCCAAGGGGCAGTGTGCTTGTTCGTGTCATCTCGAACCCATAACCTTGACTTGCGGATTCACTGGACAGGAACAGGTGGGATGAGGCAGCAGCAGGACAATCAATGAGAAGCTGCAGTGGGAACCTCAGGCTCAGGCATGACCCAGTGCGTACAGGAAACAAGCAAAGGCAGCTCAGGGAGAGGTCATGGGGACAGAACGGCATGTCCAAAGAGGAGCTGCTCCCCAACCCTCTGATTGGGCCACATGTGGAGGCCACCTAGGTATGTGTCCATCAGCGTTTTCAAGCCACCATCTTAAGACTTCCCACCCAGTCACTGAGTTTCCTGCTGTGGTCATAGCAATGGTTATTAAAGCCACTTATACATCTTCCTCCCCATCACGACACAAATAGTACCTGAAAGGGCTGGGTTGAGTCAGGTTTGGCCATCAGATCCCTCCCAACTCTAAAGCTATTCTTCCCTTTTTTTGCTTCCCCTCTCAATGCACTCCTGGGGGTGTCTGAGTTACTAGTAGCACTGATGGTTGTCTTTTTTACTTAATTTGTGGTAAAATACACACAACATAAATACTACATTTTAACCATTTGAAATATACTTCACTGGTGCTAAGTACATTCAGAACACTGTGCAACCACCTCCACCCATCCAATTCCAGAACATTCTTATCACCTCAAAAGGAAATTCTGTATTCCTTAATCAGTACTTCCCTATTCTCCTTTCTCCCTGCCCTAGCCACTAATCTGTTTTAGACTCTAGAGAATCTGTGGATTTCCCTATCTGGGATATTTCACATACATGCAATCATTTACCCATGAGCTGTGAAGTGTCTGGATTCTTTCACTCACACAGAGCTTCATGGTTTATCCCATTTCCTTGCTGCAGAGCAACCAACTGTGTAGCTATACTACAGTATGATTTACTCCTTTGTCTCTTCATGGACACTGGGGTCATTGCCACCTTTTACTATTGTGAATAGAGTTCTGTGAACACCTATCCACACAACATTTTTCCTTAAATATCTGTTCCCTATAGTTGTTCGACCCTGACCTACATCACAAACAGAAACACCTGTTTGCCCACCCATCCACAGGCTGCATTTTTCCACGGGGCTCTGTGGACAGTACCGTGTGGTCTCCTCTGTCCAGCCAGACACCTTTTTCCTTGACTTCATTTTGTTCTGGATGTCATTCACCTTGACAGAGTACAGCAGCAGCCTTGTTGGTGGGTCTCTCATTGCCAGGAGAGCCTGAAGCACTAGAACAGGCTTTTGTGAGCTGAGGAGACCAGGCATCCACTGAATTGGGCTAATCCCACTGACTATTGTCACAGCTAGGGAAGCGCTTCAGATTCCAGGAGTTGTGCTCATCAGCAAATACCAGAGTGTAGTGTGGTATCAACATGTCATGGTTTCCCTTCTCGTGGCTTCCCACCACTTGGCCACTTTGTTTGTGACGTCACCGTGGAGAGTCTCCTTGCTTTTCCAGTGTGCACAGGAATATGACAGATGCCATGGACTTCAGTTTGGTGCACAAACAAAACAAAGCAGAAATTTCTTGATGCAGGTGTCAATTTTTATTTGTTGTGATTTATAGTTATTTATTCTGTCTTGTTAGGGATTAAACCCAGGGCTTTGCACATGCTAGGCAAGCACTCGACTACTGACCAGCATGTCGAGTCTGGCTGCTAATTTTTTAAAGCCCCTGAAACTATCAAATTCTTCCAATTATGTATGAGTCTGATGAAAGGCATTCAGAGAACAATGTTAGTTTATAAAGCCAACTCTGGGCTGTGGAGAGGCTCTGTGGGTAAAGCATTTGCCATGTAAGCATGAGGACCTGTGTTCAAATCCTCATAACCCATGTAAAGTCTAGCACAGCAACATCTACCTATAACCCAGTACTCCTACAAGATGGGAGGCAGTGACAGCAGAGTCCTTGGAAGCTGACAAACCAGAGCCTGGCACTCACAGCAGCAAACGATAGAGTCCTGTTTCGAACAGGATGGAAAGCATGGGGGTAACACTGAAGGTTGTCCTCTGACTGCTATAGGAGCACTGTGACGAGTGCATCCCTCACTCCCACCACCTGGACAGACATATACATCATATACATAAACAATGGGGAATCGAGGGGAGGGAGGGGGAGGGAAGAGGGAAGGAGACTCTAAACCTGACAGTCTGAGACTGAGTCTTAACTCTGCACAGCCTTGAGGAAGTTGCTTATGCCCTCGGAGCCTCAGTTTCCTAATCTGTAAAATGGAGTTGGCACAAAAGCAACGCCTAAAGTGCTAATAAAAACACACCAAATAAGCTCTCTTTGTGCTAACCATTCTTAAAGTCAACTAGTAAAGAAAAGCATGGCTTCATCACTGGTGGAGAACCTCTAAATGCCTCAAATGCTCCAAATCAAGTGGCAGAGGAGCCAGTGACTCAATCAAAAGTGTGCTCTTCTCCCAGGGGTGTACAAAGCGCTGAGCACATACATGGTTTTGTAATTTCGTAACTTTGGGCTCTCGCCAGCTGGTGCAGAGGTTCTGGGGTTGTGTGGGGTGGGTGACGGCAAGGAAGGAAAGCCGTGGCTGCTGGGACTCTGCTGTCCTTCATAATCTCTACTTCCCAACCACTCTTAGCTCACTTGTTTTCCCTGCTTCTTGGCAAAACAGACACTCACATAGCAACAGCTGCCATCGCTTATTCCCTCAAGCTTTCCTAATTGCCTTGAAGGAAAGTGCTTAATCCATCACAGTCCCTGGAAGGACGCTAGAGAAGTAACAGAATGGACAGGCCCTTCAATGATGCTCACAAGTGCCAACCATGGAGTTGGCATGAGATGTCCCCCAGTAGGTTCTTATGAAGTCTTTGCCATGGGCTGACATCCCAATGATTGTGTGAATGGACTTTATGTTCGAAAGACCTCTTTCCACATGTGTGTGTGGGGGGGTGTTGAGGGGAGATGGTTCCAAAACTCTTTTCCACTACCTAATAAAAGTCCCAGAGCACATAGCTAGCAAGTTCCACTTTCTCTTTGTATGGAAGCTTTGAGAGTTCTTTTCAGATCTTTGGCAAAACTAAATCAAAGCACAGCAGAGTCAGCTGCTTGCTCTAGAAGTCACTGGTGTTTCCTTTTGTCTCGGGAGCTGTGTGTCTAGTGACAGGCATGGTTACTGGCATTCACCTGCGCTGCAGAATGCCTCAGGGTTGTTTAGTCTAGAATTCTGCTCTGGAGCAGCATTTTCAACAGTGGGTATTGGCACATTTGTGAATAACCAGCTTGGCCAGTGGGTGAAAACAACACTTTAAACATCTAATGAGGGAGTGGGGACCTGCACTTGGATCCCCAGCACCCACACAAAGTCAGGTGTAGTAGCATGTCTGTATCCCCAGCACCGTAAGGTGGTGGTGCTGGAAGTCTTCTGCCCAGCAAGCCTAGACAACTGGGGAACCCCAGTCTCAGTGGGAACCTTGTCTGAAGATAAAAGGTGGCTGCTGGATTAAGGCCTGGAACTTTTCTATAGGATAGAGAAGATTCTAGCTGACATGTATATATTGAATGGGTTAACTGGTGAGCACTATTAGATGTAATGATCTTTCATTGTAATAAATATCCCATGTTAAAAAAAATGAGATGGACAACAATAGTGGAAGAGGCTCTACATTAACCTCTGGAATGTACATATGCACTCACATACACTTATGTACACAAACACACACTATACACACAAAAAACTCTAATGAATAGAAAATAACACATAGACCTTTATTGTTGAGGGCATCTTCATCTCCATGTGTTTAACTTTTCAGGCTATTTTATCAACCACTCAGTGATAAGTCATCTTTCTTTTTGCTCAGTGTTTATGTGGTATCTTTTCTCAACTCTGCTTTCAACCATGCTGAGTTATTTTGTGTTTTCTAGACCTCTAGTATGGAAGTTATCCTCTTATGACCCATGACCATGGGACAAACTGTTCTGTGAGCTTTTATTATGGTT